ATATTCTGTTTGTTAATATTAATTAACTGCATAGTAAACATGAACTAAGAATGAAAATACTTCTAAAACCTTCATTAATCTTAGTTAATTTCAACATTTACTAATACATTATTAAACTCAAACGTCGTATTTGTTCATATTGTTTAAAGGACCTGAGCTAACATGAACTAACAGTTGTATTTTTTAGGGATGCACGATATATCGGCCACCATATCGGTATCGGCCGATAAATGCTCATTTTTTCTGTTATCGGTATCGGCCTGATAAGAAAATTTGGCTGATATCTTAAAGCCGATAAATAATGCATTATTTCCTTCAGAGACACTTCAGATGCGCGCTGTTCGTTTGCAGCCTTTTGTGCAATTGTACGTTGTAATATTGTGTTTATTTGATGTATATCTGATTTATCTCATATAGAATGCGTTTGGTTAAGTTAAAAGAGCGCTTCAGTTTACCGGTGATCATCTTTAGCTCAGCACACGCAGTTCAAACAGCAGTGCACAACATTAATAACTATGATTGGGAATGTTGTGTATATAACATTCTAATGAGAACATTATTATAATAAAACGTTGTGCATTCTTTGGGTTTAGTTGCTGTGTTTCAGCGCGTTGTTATGGGAAGATCGCATCCACAACCGGATCACACATTCTGACTATAGCATGCAATAACTGCGTCATTTTGTACATATATAAGTTGTAATATTATGTTTATGTTGTATTAATATTAATCTCAGGATGCATTTCCTTGAGTTAAATAAGCTGCCAGCAAAACGCTTCAGTTTACCATGTTCATTCAGCTCTTCAGCTTCAGCACGCGCAGCTCAACGGCTGCTATTTAAAACAGTGGTATTAATTTGTTACTTTTTCAAAATCATTGATATATTATTAATAACAACAACCACTTGTATTTTTCTCTTATTATTTTCATCAACAATATGGTTTAGTAATTAAAATAATTTAATTATTGTACGTGCAGAGGCTATTCCGTTTTATTGATCTATGGCGCATTCATTTTGATTCTTTACACGTGTAATGATGTCCAGTGACTTGTTTGCATTATTTATGCATTATTTTATATATTTGTAAGACTTTTTTATGACTAAATTTGGTAATGGGAGAGTAAAATTATTTTTAAAACGTACACCGTTCAAACTAGGCTGCTTAGTGTTTGGGATGTGGCTTTTAATGATGAGACCTTTTTTGTAATCAGGCTCTCAAAAAATATATAACAATTTGGACATAGATTTATCGGCCAACATATCGGTTATCGGCTTTCAAAAATAAAGAATAATCGGTTATCGGTATCGGCCAAAATTTTCATATCGGTGCATCCCTATGACTAGATAAACACGGTGAGTTTGTCTTTACTATACACGTTAGATGTGATCCACCTCATAGTAACAATCCTGTCAAATCGTCCATCCTTTGAGTGAGAGTGTAACGTTACAGATCGGCCGATCTGGTTTCGTGGTTAAAGTGAACCTTTTCGACATGTTTCTGTGTTGTCTTTGCTCAGCAAACATGGACGCAATGTTGTCTGGAGGTTTGGCAAAAGGAGAGTGGGACGCTGGGTGGTGCTCAGGGTGGTGACTGAAGGCGGTGACTGTGCAGTTCTGACGTCAACTTTTTACGGAAGTCACAACGGTTCGTGAAAAATAGCTAGAACTTTATGCAGGCTGTGTGCATTTGACTGTGGACTGAAACTTATATGGTAGTTAAATAGCCCCTAGACCTCAGTAATCATGAAAAATGCCAGGAAATTTCAGTTTTGACAATATGGGACCTTGATACGGGATACAAATAAATGTACCTGTTTGAGGACATTTTATGCAGCTATAAGAAACAGCACTTGTTCATAATTATTAGTGAATGAGAGCCATTACATCTGGAGTGTGTGTGTATGTGTGTGTGTGTTTTACATCCACAGCAGCGCTGGATGGTATCATAGACACAGAAAGAAGAATTGATTAAATTAGTCACTGTTAGGGATGTAACGATTAACCGCGAGCCGGTTGAAAATTTATTCAAATATGTAACGATTCAAATCGGTTGAGATGCTAAACAAATCGCAATTAAATTAGGGGTAGTTTATATGAATGCATGTCTGAGGGGAACTTACTGTCTTTAGAAAAGTTTAGATGGTATTTCTTCTTTTCATCTTGCCTCTGTACAATGCATCTTAAAGTTCATAAGTGCAGCGCTGCTTTGTTTACAGCAGAAACCAAGGAAACGCTTTAAGCACCACCTGCTGGCAGAGAGTGAATCTGCGTCTCGTTCAGCTCGTCTGCTTTTTCTGTTTCTTGCAGATATTTTTATGTATAGTTTCACAAAACTGAAGTCAAACCATTCTGTTTTTGCTTCAGATTTCGAAATTATACAATCTAATTTAGATTACAAACTGCTCATGTTGCATATATGCAGCATCTTTGTTTGGATCATGATTAAAATGGTTGCCTCTAATTTTAAAAGGAAAGAACACAGACAAAGCCTTAATTTGTTTATATGATGAGATTTATTTTATTTGTGTTACTTATTTATTTGATTTGGGGCTTGTTTTAAATTTTCAATTTAGTTTTGTTATTTACATTAATGTCTGAGGGGAACTTACTGTCTTTAGAAAAGTTTAGATGGTATTTCTTCTTTTCATCTTGCCTCTGTACAATGCATCTTAAAGTTCATAAGTGCAGCGCTGCTTTGTTTACAGCAGAAACCAAGGAAACGCTTTAAGCACCACCTGCTGGCAGAGAGTGAATCTGCGTCTCGTTCAGCTCGTCTGCTTTTTCTGTTTCTTGCAGATATTTTTATGTATAGTTTCACAAAACTGAAGTCAAACCATTCTGTTTTTGCTTCAGATTTCGAAATTATACAATCTAATTTAGATTACAAACTGCTCATGTTGCATATATGCAGCATCTTTGTTTGGATCATGATTAAAATGGTTGCCTCTAATTTTAAAAGGAAAGAACACAGACAAAGCCTTAATTTGTTTATATGATGAGATTTATTTTATTTGTGTTACTTATTTATTTGATTTGGGGCTTGTTTTAAATTTTCAATTTAGTTTTGTTATTTACATTATATTTAAATGTTGTTATTTAGCAGATGCTTTTATCCAAAGCGACTTACAAATGAGGACAATAGAAGCAATCAAAACCAACAAAAGAGCAATAATATACAAGTGCTATATTAGTATATTATTATAGTGTTATATTTCAATTCCACAAGGAAACATGCAGCATTTTGTCCAAGCAATAATAAAAGGACGCATTTATTTATAATTTGTCTTAAATCTAATTTTGTTAAAAAAAAATCATGAATCGAATCGTGAGTTGAGTGAATCGTTAAATCCCTAGTCACTGTAGACATGACATGGAGAGCCCCGATGACACAGTTCCACTCCGGCACAGCAGTTCTTTTGACTGTTGGCTGCACACGAGTGCGGCTGGCATGGGGTGGTAAAATGTCCAGAATATATCAGCTGGCCTTGCTCCCAATCACAGACCCAGCATGTGCTTGATGGGTTGACCATGTATCTGAATCCCTTTCTCTGCTTGTTGTGTCATCACCACGGTCAGCCAAACGAAGAGAAACATACTGAAGCTTGATGTTATATGTATTGAAGATTCATAATATATTCACAATGACTTTACTGGCAATATCAAATTAACCTACATCTTGAATATCTTGATTATTTTATAGTTTTAGTGCTTTTTATTTTGGTCAGTAAGCTTGGACGGTGTCATTGGTCTAATTTCACAGTCTGTCTAGATAAGTTTTTGTACAGTATGTAAATGTTGTTGCTTATTACTGTCTAATATTTAATCCTTATATTGGTGCACATAACTGAAGTTAAATTATTGAATGTATTGAAATGATTAAATACAGATTTTGTATTCATTTAGTGCTAAAAATGTGGAAAATGTGGCATTTTTGAATTAATTTTACTTTCTAAACATATTCCTAAATTATGTTTTTACATGCAAAATCTACTTGGCTTACAATGTTTATTTTGATTGAAAAACAAATCCTTTAAGATGTTAAAGAGCAAATACATAAATAGCGAGGTATATTTCAAGATATTGAATATTGTTTTTCGCTAAATCGTGAATATCTACTGCATATAGACTGTCAGTATATTGTATCCATTTATACATAGCCTATTCATTAATTTAAAAGCCACATCAAAGCTGACCTCCTTTCAGACCATGGCTTTTAGAGTTGAAGATTTGTTAGAGCATCTCAAAGCTTCACATTTCTCTCTTTTCAATGTGGTATATATTTAAGCTACAAGCTTCTGGTTTTCATGTATCTCTACCTTGTATTTCAATGCTCCATTTCTGAGTTTTCATTTATGTTTTCTTTTGTGCGCCTGTCTCGTTTTTGTACAACTCGTGTCAGAGTTTACTTTGTGCAGATATTGAAAATCCAGAGCACAAACAGATGTGAAAGAAAGCGTCTTTGGTGACAAACATAGTCCAGAAACAGAGGGTGTTGCCGTCTGTTAAAATAAGTGCTTCTGGGTTTATGCTACAGCTGTTTATTTGTTCTCATACCCATCACCCCCTCCTTTTTAAATAATAATAAAAAAATAAAATAAGATTAATCATAAAAATAGCATTTTATTGTTCTGAATTTGCATTAATTATTTTTATACGTTTCTTAACATAATGCATTGTCTCCTCAAGTATCAGTGACTGTAACATCCTTCAGTAATTGATATACTCATACGCAACTGTTACAAAAGGCTGAAAGCAAGGGTACCAAGGGTATCAACATTTTTGAACAGGATCATTTATGTAAATTGAATTATTTTGTCTTGTGGAATATAAATGCTTGACATCTTACAGATCCTGTGAGGGGAATGTATGAGCAACTGGGAACTGAATACAATGGATGTGGTTCACTTTATTTAGTTGGAATTTCATCAATCAGCAACGGTTTCACTCCATAAAGTAACACACTTTTCCCACTGTGTGTATGTGTGTGTGTGTCCTTCAGGTCGCCCCCTCCCTCCCACGCCTTCATCCAGTCTGCTCCCCCCAGCCCCTCCTCCCCCTTCCGCCCCCCTGCACCAGGCCGCCATCTCCATCAGGGAGTGTCAGATGCCCCTTTTGGACAGCGGCTCATCCCATGCCATACTGGACCCCCCTCCCGACGACGAGTTCTCCCCCAACTCCTACCTGTTCCGTGCACAGCCCCCCACCACCGGTAAGAGCATCTCACTGCACTGCCGCATTCTCCATCATAACCAGCACCCTACTGTCATCGCTCTCAGCCCCTCCCTCCACCAACACTCAACCGTCCTGTACATGAATGCTGTCCCGTTGCCATAACCCAGATTTTAGGAATAAGTTGTGATTAAATCAAATTAGGGGGATTATTAGACTGTGTTGTAAAGGAAACATAAAATTATGTTCATAATGCATTTAACTTCCATTATGGGATGAATTGATAATTTAAACAAAACTTTAAGGGGAGCATAATGTAAGGCTGAAAAGGGATTGTATTGGATCATGAAAAGTAAACAATTATTTTATTGCTTGATATTAATTTTGGTTACATAAAAGCAGTCATTTTAGAGGTTGAGAAATTTATTATTTATCATTTTGAAATATTATGAAAATATTATTAAATGTTGTTCTTTCAAAATAAAGCTATGGATATTTATTTAAAAAGCATTATAGGTTCAATTTTGGTTGTCTTGAAGAATCTGGGCTGTCCACATAGAGGTTGGGTTTGATGAGTCAATCAATCAGGTTGCTTCAGAATTCAAAGTGAATTATGGTATTATTTTTTTTGCATAATCATGCAACAAGCAATTTCATGTTATTTTTGGTCACTCTTAGAAAAAAAATTTAATTAGACAAATTACATGCATTGATTATTTTAGTTGCTGGAAAATATCATCCAGTATTTATTTACATTTGGGTTAATTCATTTATTGAAAGTCAAGTGTATTGAATGTATTCTCTAAATGTTATACATTTCTGTATTCGTTAGGGGTGTAACGATTCACTCGTTTTCTCGAAGCATCAATTACAAACCCTGACGATGCATATGCATCGATCTTGAAACATGGATTTTTGAGCCAGTAATCAAATATTTTTAAATATTTAAAAATTAATGGTGACCATGAACAGGGTTGTTTCTGCCCTCACATCTCTCCTTCACGCGCTCTGCTATTTACTGTCACAGGATTGTGCTCGTGCTGTCACTGATAAATTGTTTTGAGCAGCCAATGTGTGATCTCTCCTTAGTACTCATGGCCAGTACTTCTGAAGTAAAGTATTTTTACTTTTCTGTAGTTTTTCAGTGGCTCTCAGTCATACTATTGACATTACCTGAGCAGTTGAAGGCTGCACATTTAGTGCATGGACAGAGCAAAAACAATGTCAGCGTCTAAAAGCAACAGCCTGGAAATAAGAGTGCAAGGTTGATCTCTCAATCACATACATGAAAGTTGCATTCGTTACTATAGCAAAGAGATAACGGGCACGTTTTCTTTCAAAATCATCATTCGCCGATAGGAAGGAAAAATTAAATACTGTAGCATTTTATTTTATGTAAATAACATAAAGAAACTCACATCATGCAAAGGTGTGACATAAAATGACAGCCTGCATATTAACACTATAGATAATAGAAATAATACTTTTAAAGCATTTTTTCTTTCTTTTTCTTTCTTTTTCTTTTCTTTTTCTATTTTTCTATTTCTATCTTGGCTTTCATAAATTTCTACATATGCCATATGTCATGCTACAGCATAATTAACATCTTTTTTTTGTCCTAACTCTCTTACTCCATAATGACTGCTGTGTAATTTGCACCCTGATTAAGCATTTAAAGAATTTAGGGGAAGCATTTAAATTATCCTCGGAATGCACTTAAAGAATGCAGAATCGAATTGTGAATCATCTCGAATCGAAAACCTATGAATCGTGAATCGAAACGATTCACTGTCTACCCAAAGATTCACAGCCCTAGTTTTTATAAATTGGAAGCCATGTGGCAATGCAACACAGTACCATAATTATTTATTATACAAAAATAAACAGCAATATTCTTGGAATTACTGTACACAAAATTATTATCATGACCAAGGCTGGATTTAATTCTTATTTTTTGTATTTTAGAAATACACTTTGTGAATTACTTCTAAATGTTTCTTTCATTTTAAAGAAACGTTTATACTTCCTGCAGCCAATAATTAATTGCATAAACACATTGCGCTCAGCAGGGACGTGCACAGACACTTTGAGGGGCAGGGGCTCAAGTGGAAAAAAGGGCACTTCTCATTTTATTATTTTTTTTTTCTTAAAAAAAACTTTAAATATATTAGGGGTGTGTGATATTGACAAGTATATCAATTTTCTCTGGGATTTTATCGATAACGATAATTAGATTATATTTTGCTGAGTGTGTTATTGTGTTGATATCTTGAGGTGTCCATGGACAGCTGATTCCTAAAGTTTTTGATATTCTGCATATTCTGTGTGGTAATCAGTTTACAGCAGTGATAGAAATTAATCTTTTCCAATAAGTTTAAATAGATTTTTTTTTTACCTTTTATGGGCAGTTTTACCTTAATAAAGCCCTTTTATTCAAAAAGTGTGCATCATCTTTTCAGTCAAATTCTTAAATTGAATCAGTCAATTAGAATAATAAGTCATTTGTGACCCTGGACCACAAAACCAGTCTTTAAGTCGCTGCTGTATATTTGTAGCAATAGCCAAAAATACATTGTATGGGTCAAAATTATAGATTTTTCTTTTATGCCAAAAATCATTAGGACATGAAGTAAAGATCATGTAAACTCACATCATGCAAAGGTGTGACATAAAATGACAGCCTGCATATTAACACTATAGATAATAGAAATAATACTTTTAAAGCATTTTTTCTTTCTTTTTCTTTCTTTTTCTTTTCTTTTTCTATTTTTCTATTTCTATCTTGGCTTTCATAAATTTCTACATATGCCATATGTCATGCTACAGCATAATTAACATCTTTTTTTTGTCCTAACTCTCTTACTCCATAATGACTGCTGTGTAATTTGCACCCTGATTAAGCATTTAAAGAATTTAGGGGAAGCATTTAAATTATCCTCGGAATGCACTTAAAGAATGCAGAATCGAATTGTGAATCATCTCGAATCGAAAACCTATGAATCGTGAATCGAAACGATTCACTGTCTACCCAAAGATTCACAGCCCTAGTTTTTATAAATTGGAAGCCATGTGGCAATGCAACACAGTACCATAATTATTTATTATACAAAAATAAACAGCAATATTCTTGGAATTACTGTACACAAAATTATTATCATGACCAAGGCTGGATTTAATTCTTATTTTTTGTATTTTAGAAATACACTTTGTGAATTACTTCTAAATGTTTCTTTCATTTTAAAGAAACGTTTATACTTCCTGCAGCCAATAATTAATTGCATAAACACATTGCGCTCAGCAGGGACGTGCACAGACACTTTGAGGGGCAGGGGCTCAAGTGGAAAAAAGGGCACTTCTCATTTTATTATTTTTTTTTTCTTAAAAAAAACTTTAAATATATTAGGGGTGTGTGATATTGACAAGTATATCAATTTTCTCTGGGATTTTATCGATAACGATAATTAGATTATATTTTGCTGAGTGTGTTATTGTGTTGATATCTTGAGGTGTCCATGGACAGCTGATTCCTAAAGTTTTTGATATTCTGCATATTCTGTGTGGTAATCAGTTTACAGCAGTGATAGAAATTAATCTTTTCCAATAAGTTTAAATAGATTTTTTTTTTACCTTTTATGGGCAGTTTTACCTTAATAAAGCCCTTTTATTCAAAAAGTGTGCATCATCTTTTCAGTCAAATTCTTAAATTGAATCAGTCAATTAGAATAATAAGTCATTTGTGACCCTGGACCACAAAACCAGTCTTTAAGTCGCTGCTGTATATTTGTAGCAATAGCCAAAAATACATTGTATGGGTCAAAATTATAGATTTTTCTTTTATGCCAAAAATCATTAGGACATGAAGTAAAGATCATGTTCCATGAAGATATTTTGTAAATTACCTACTGTAAATATATCAAAATTAAATTTTTGATTAGTAATATGCATGGTTAAGAACTTATTTTGGACAACTTTAAAGGCGATTTTCTCAATATTTTGATTTTTTTTGCACCCTCAGATTCCAGATATTCAAATAGTTGTATCTCGGCCAAATATTGTCCTATCCTAACAAAATATACATCAATGAAAAGCTTATTTATTCAGCTTTCAAATGGTGTATAAATCTCAATTTCTCAAAAATTGACCCTTATGACTGGTTTTGTGGTCCAGAGTCACATTTGGGCTGTTACCAAACAAATGAAATCAGTATTGACAAAATTAATCTTTGCAATGTAGAGAAAACACAGAAGCAGCATTAGAAGTGACATTTAGATGCATTTACACTCTGTTTAATGCAGGACATTAATGTATTTAACCTGCAGTTACAAATGCATTAATACGGTTTTGATATTTTAAACATAAAACGTTGAAAACTGATATCTGAAATTATAAAAAAAAAAAATGTATATACTCTTTAAATGTGAAATTAAAACTGCCAGTAGGTGGCAGCAAGTCACTGTTAATAAGTGAGTCATTGTGACGGAACCGAATCATTTAAACGGCTGATACATTCAGGAACAAACAGCATCATGTTGCTCAGAGATGTAAATCGGAATTATATTTGTTGTCAAAATAGAGCAAAAACTGTCAATATTGTGTCTAAAACGTAAGTGTCTTAATATTACATTCTTGTTTATTGAACTGCTGTATGAAATCAATATCACATTTGTAATCATGCTGCTTTTTGGTGAGAAAAAAAAAACGTCAGACTTCGTGTGATACTGATTAACTATATGAAATTATATAAATATATAAATTTCTGCTCCCATATCTTGAAATTTGTGATCATTCTAAATGCATTTTAATAAACTGAATCATGCAGTGAAAGAACGTGCACTGGTCTAACCTACTAGACTTCCTATTGCCTTAGCTAAACTTTAGCTAACTTGCATGGTAGCTAGGTAGCAAGACAAATTAACTTTATTTCCCTTTTGTTTTTTGCATAATTAGCTGTAAATTCAAGGCACAGGTTGCTTAGTCTGTTGTTCATCGCCACTCACCTCCACAGCAAGACAAACGCAACTGGAAAGGGAGGGAGGGCTT